CACCTCCGGCACCCGCAAATGGCGGGGGCGCACCTGCGCGCGGTGTAGGGGGGCTTGGTCCCCTGCACCACAACCCTGTGGAAAGAAAAGAGACACCTAGTACAGTCGACCTCGTACAGCCGAGCCCATCCTTTCAGAATGATGGATGGGGCAGCGCTTGCGCGCAGGACGGGGGCCCGCCCCCGCCTCAAGCCCTAAGCAAAGCAAAGCAAAGAGAGACACGGCCAACCTTTTGCTTGGCACATAAAGGTGCACGAAGCCCCAGTGGTGCACTCACCAGGGGCGATACGCTTCAGCAGAGGCAACCACGCCCTGATCACATGGGAAGACGGGAGATGGAAGTGGCAGCTATACACGCTGGAAGCACTCCACGAGCTGGGAGGCTACTCACACGACCTTAACCTACCAGCACAAGAAGGGGCACCCGCCCAAAACACAGCACCCGAAGAAACAGACCCCACAAGAGAGGAGCCCCAGCAGGACGAGACACACCACTCGGGGGCAGCCGAGACCCAAGACCCACCACCACAGCAGGAGCCAACACAGGGCGCTGGGCACCAACCACCACCGGGGTCTCCTGCACGGCCAGCAGAGGACAGCACACCAGACCAAGGAGACACGCAGCAGACCCAGACACAGCCAGCACAGCCTCCTCACCAGCAACAGCAACAGCACCACCCACACACCGACACACATAGACATGCAGGTGCAATGCAGTCGCATGCATGCATACATACTTACATACCGTGCGTACACACAGACACACATGCACACAGACGTATACGCACCCGCACACGTGGGCAAACCGGCACAGGCGTGATTGGCATCAGGGAATGCCAACACCAACATAAATCACAAAACCCGTCTTCACGTTGTAGTCATTGAATATCTATAAATATTAGGTCAGGGAATGCATTGATAATTAGCAGGCGGAACTTTAGGAGGTTGTTGTTATGTCTGGCGCAAGAGCAGATGCGTGGTTTGCAAGTGACCATGAGAATGGTAAGCACTGACAACATGCCAACACCCTTGTGCAGGTTGTTGGTGTGTTGAGCACATGGGAAGGTCAGGATCTCAGATAGGGGCGCATCGGCTTTGTTTGGGTCCTGGTGCCTATATTGCTTGTGGTCGGAGAAAGGTCTCGTTTACCGCATCGAGCTCCGCCGTGAAGAGGTGGTGCTGGTTAACATACTCCATGCACATGTGTTTAGAAGTATGTTGAAGTTGCAGCTTCCCCCCGCGCGGATCCCACCTCAAGTTCGGTTTGTTTGTGCTTCCGCCCGAATGACGTGGCTTGGCAGTCAGGCAGCAGTTTTTGGACGCTTCGAAGTCTTGTCTTTCTTACATTCGTATGTGCAACGTAGTTCTCAGCACAGACATGTTTTCTTGGGTCTGGAGAATGCTGACAGATTCGCAAAGTCAGCTGGGACAAATCAAAGCAGCTGATGTGCGCTCCTCAAGTTAGCCTGTGATTGAGGGCAAACCGAAACTTGCTGTTAGGGGTGGACCATCCTTGCAGGTACGGCAGTTTGCTTTGCTTCTCGGATGACGACTTCAAGTCCCTCATCTGGGCAACGGATCCTCGCTCGGTCAGCTCGTCAGCTTCTGGTCTCACAGGCATTCTACGCGTTCCGAGGTTTGGCGTCGAGACCCTGCGCTCATTTCTTCGAAGGTTCGCCAGCTCTGTCTGTGATTTTCGCGAGCGAGGCTGCTCACCCAACTGAAGGAAGGCCTGCAAGCTCCCTCAGGGCAAGCTGCTCGTTCGAGTGTTGAAGCACATTTCTTCGATGTAAATCGAGTCTGGGTCAAACGAAATTAGTCGGGAGAATATCTCTCTGATGAGGAGCAAAGATCCAAGACAGCACGCAAAGCACGTGGACCACATTGTCGTAGCCTCGCATGGAAACTGGACATATGCTGGGATAGAAACAAGGGGGGAGGTTACCAAACAGCTAACCCCCCAAGAACTACCGCGGGATGCCGCAATAGCGCCACCGATCCTCCTACAACTTTCAGCTGTAGTCCCAGATCAAGGCCCCAACAATACGTATGAATGACCGTGGGCCTTGACTGACTCCTATTCCTAAACAGCGGCATCCCTAAGACTAACCATCCTATTAGACCTTACATTGGCCCCAATGCTGACAGTGGTCTTCTACTTCATGCTCACCCAAAAGAGCGTCCTTATGGATTCATGTCTTAGTTCATATGGAACAAAATGCTATGTTGACTGAACCCCATTATACATTCCCTTGTTAATTCCCATATCGACCTGAAGGTTATCATAATAACATACATCAGCCTGATTGGCCCGCCGATCGTAAGGATATTGCAGTCCCGTTGGCAACCCAGATATTGGATATGACTCCAAGATGGACCCTACTCGCAAACTTACCCAGAAGCTGTTCGCATTGGTAACCTTCGTACTGAACCGGATAGTGCCTTCAACAGCCACCCAAATAATGGCTTGAACAGAAACCCGGACCATTGGCCTCACAACAAGTTAATTAATCCGGACGTAGCTGTGGGATCCCTTGCACAAGCGTTCACGTCCCCGAAGTTCAAAGTCATGGCATCCCCAATACTGTTTACTGTTAATATGAATACCGGTAAGCTAAATACTTGCCTAACATTTATTTGAACGGTGGCCTTTACATTCATGCAAATATCCAACTACACAAACTGATACCCATTAAGAGCCACGATCTTTCGGGCAACACTTTTGCGTTGCCCGAATGATGGCCCCTAGGTTGCAAGGGATGATGCCAGCATTTGTTTGTTTACCTCATCATATTTTATATGGCACCCCCTTCGTCATTGTAGCATATGACCCTCTCAAACTTGTTGTCGGACTTGCCCGTATGCGTGTATGTACGTTTTTGTGTGTATATACACATGCTAACCCTAAGGTTAAACCTGTACTAGATGCCAACATAATGACGATTTCAAACAACATCAACCCTAACCCCATCCTTGTCATTCGCCCTTATGTCAATGGTATTCGCCCTGACAGCAGCCCTAAGGCCATCCGTAGTAGGCTTCTTATCACCCATAATCTGACCCCGATGTTTCTCTTATTAAAGCTACAACCTTAGTCAGCTAGAAGAAATCGTCGTGGTAGCTGTGATAACCCTGATATCTTGGGTCCTGGTCTGTGTGAAACCTGCAGTACTAGCTTCCTATTTACCCCAGAACTGATCTGAATAATGCCTGGTTAATACTTATTGTATCTTACTGTATAGTATGAATTCTAAGCGGAAGTGAATTTTTAAAATAATGACACTCGACGAACCTTATTGGCAGAAGTAATTCGTAGCGTGCGCAAACAACAAATGAAACACAAACTCTCTGCTAAGAAAAATTTGGTCTTGGAGTGCAATACAAACTTCCCTACGAAAAAGATGGTTTTGGGCGCAACAACTGACCTTTTCCTAGGAAACCGATGGTTTCGTACCCAAAACCCAACTTTCCCTCGGGGAAGCCAGAAAAAAAATGGGAAACCGTATTGCCAGACCCCAACAATATGTTGCAAGTGCCTCTTCACAGACGTGAGACACCTCGCTTTTCACTCCCGTAGCGCCAAGCCTGGGGGTCCCGTGATCACCTGGTCTGCCGCATGCGCCCCTTGCTGCGTAAAGCAGCCGCTCGGGATGTAAAATGCTGCATTAGCATGAGCAACCAGTAATCAGCATACTATTTGACAGACACGCCTCATCCGCACATGTATTTACAGCATTCTGTTTCTAAAGGGCCCTACTCTGCACCAAGGTCGTCAAAGGATAGAATTTAGGCATAATGGCTCTTCGATGACTGGCAGATGCGATTGCATGTAGCACCTTGGAAGGTGAGTCCATCACCTGTGGCACGGATTGTTTGTGGGTTTTGCCTGGAAACAATCCCCAGAACCATCGTTCTTGTTGGAAAATCTGTTTTTCGACCCAAAACCATAGTTTTCTTTGGTTTTTGCACCGAAAACCAAGTTTTTCCTTGCGCAAACCAAAAAGGCACATCTTTTTGGAGCTGGGCCGTTTAGGTTCCCAAGGGCTGTGTGTTTTTTGAATATTTTTCTGATTTTCCCGACAAAAAAAGGTGGTTTGTGATTGGAAGAGTACAGTGTTGCCGTTGAGTGCGTGCTCACGTCGAACGTGAACGAAATGCGAGAGTCGGGTTGTAGCAGTGTTTCAAAGATACGGAATCCGGACCTGCCGGGAAAGCTGGCTTAATACGGTATTTACGACACAAAACGAGGGTCGGTAGTTCATGGTGGGCGTAAACACAATGACAGTGTTCGGCCGGCTGCTCAACAGCACCAATTGCAGCCTATGCCATCACCTGGACAAGAAGCAATTAAACGACTCCAGTATACATCAATTGCGGACTTCCGACCTCTCCAGCTCGCCAGGCGATTCCTTCAATCCAGACCCCAGAAGAGTTCGTGTGTTCTCCCTGTGCTTGAAGACAGATCTCACCTTTCACAAACGCTGGTGTAGAGGCGCAGCTGGACATTCGGTTGCCTTTCGATCCCTGGGACGACAGACTTTCGCCGGGCAAGGCACGGCTCAAGCTTCACGTGATGGCTGTGAGAATGGCTAACAGTTGTGTCATGTCTGTATATACTTCGTGTGCTCCTGTCGGCTCGTGGCGCAGGTGTTTTGCTGCATAGAAAATGTGACGATTTACTTCGAGGCCATCAGTCCGAGCAAACCACGACGTGCCTAGCGGTCACAGCTTCACTGCGACGATTCTTGGTTCCAGGCGTACAGGCACGTCTTGATTGCGCTGCAAAACATGCGGGCCACAGATGTCATGACCTTACACGCTCATATTTCCCTCGTCTGCGGGCTGTATTGTGAATCTTCTTCAGGTCCCCTTTCAGCACACGCTGCTGAGCCAGCAGCCCGATCCGCTGCCCCCAACATATCTTAAGGATGCAGGGCTTGGGCTCGTGGACTCGGGCCTGTCATCGCCTCTAGAGCAGGAAGAGACGGACATGTTCCACTTCCACAACGTTTTCTCCAGTTGCGAGAAGGTCAGTCTGAGCGAAACGATGAAGCTGGAAATGTACCAAAACCAATTGGCATTGGTTCAGCGGGCAGCAGTGACCTGGCAAAAGATGTGCAGGCGGATTGCGAAATCTCCGCTCCGAAGTCCTTCCGTATTCTGGCAGAGTGGCCACCGGCTCTCCGACAGCTTGAAGCCCAGCAGGAACATCTCTCCTCGCAAGCCTCCAATGCAAAGTCACAAGTCTGTTGAGGTCTTTGGATCTGGACCCATCGCAACTGGACGCAGTGCAGCATGCGCGCTGCTGAGTGCAAATGAAGTCAAACGAAGCTCAGGCCAGCTGACAATGGCAGCTTCCTTGCTCAGGCGTTGACCAACCAGATGGCCTTGATTCAGGGTCCCCCTGGCACGGGCAAGCTACGTCCTTAGCGTGACTTTGTTTTGCCGAGTTGAAGTCTCGTCAGTCTTCTCTGAGCTTGTCCTGGTAGGACCTTTGTTGGGTTGAAGATCGTGCAGGACATGCCGTCGACTTGACACGACACAGCTTAGCATGCCCTTGACACCATGGGAAGGCAATCTTGGACAACACCAAACTTCTTCGTCATTCGCCGATTCTGGTGGTGTGCTACACGAATCATGCCTTGGACCAGCCAAGCCGGCAAGTCTTGCTGGTGCAGCTGCTGCCGTCGCCAACGACTGGTGACATTTTGCGCAGGTTCCTCGAAGGAATCTTCAAGTTCTGTGAGAACATTGTCCGCATCGGCGGCTGGCTCAGATCCAGTGCGTTCGAAACTGCTGCGGATCCGTGCCCTTGTCTTGCGCGAGGCTCCCGCTCAAAGAGCGAGCAGATGATGCGAAGAAACCTCAAGGACTTGGTTGATTTCAGGTTAATGTGAGCTGCCTCGTGGAAGGGCCCGGCCTAGCCAGGAACTCGTCATGAGCGTGCCGTCATCGAGGGAGTTCTTTCAGGCCGGCAGCCGCCTACGGATCGTCGGGAAGCCCCACCACCGGATTTTTTTCTTTCATTTATCAGGCGCGGAAGTGTTTGACAGAGCGTGCCGGCCTTGTTGCATTCAAAGTGCTTGTCCACGCTATGAGATTTCATAATTATCCTCCAAGCGAACTTCCAAAACTCTGCATAGACTCACGGCTTGACTGCCGTCACAGGTCGGGACTACCTGCGAGACGAGCTGTCGAAGGTGAACGCCTGCTGAATTGCTTCGAGCTTCGGACGTCCTGGCATTTCTCACAAAATTGACCGCGAGGCGATTGTGCAGGTCGACAGCCACACGGTCTCTGCTGCTCAAGCCAAGGCCCGCAGGTGTCTCAGTCGAAGTCATCAAGGATTATTAATTTCTTGGTTCTGGTCGCTGGATGGCGCTCCAAGGGTCTCCAAGCGATGTGCTTTCTTAGCCGCAAGGTGCGATACAAACATGGCGGGTTGAGTCCTGAAAAGCACCACGACCGTCAACAAACAGATGCATTCCCTTCCCTTCGATCAGTTCACTGAACAGAATTCCGCACAGTTGATGCGTGTTGCTGTGCATCTTCCAGATCACACCATGCCCGGAGAGGTATGCTGCAAAGTTCCTGTACCAGTACCTGTCCAGATCTGCACGAAAGCCCTCCAACAGATCGAAGCCTTGACATGCGATTGTCGTTGATGTGTCAATGCCGGTGGGCCTTGCTGCTTCATCATTGACACCCACTTTTAGAGTCTTTTAGAGTCATCACATTAACTTGGAGCGTTGCAACTGAAGTCGCTGCAAGTGGTGAGAGACGCTCTGCAGCATCGAGCACGACAAGTGTTCGTTTGTGTCTGTGTTATACACAAAGGTTCCATACATTACATTACATTGCTTTGCATCACATTACATACATCGAATACTGTTCTGTGTTGTGTACACATCCCTTGTCGGTTGCCGTCTAGAGAAATCACTCCGGAACGGCACTGTTGGTCAAACTGCGACCGCAACCCCGAGAAATTCTTTGCCGACTGCACCCAGGTTGGGTAGGTTCGGCACTGTTTGGAGTTGGGCATGGAGTGGCATCGATGCTCAGTCTCCGTCTGTGAAGCCAAAGCAAGCATGACATGGCAGTCGCTGATGTCCGAGCAGCAGTTCGAGGAATTCTACCAGGCGGGCCGCAGTTAGGATCGATTGAATGCTTCCATTGAAATGCTGTAACAGTAGCATGAAAGAAAGGCTTCTCTGAGCGATGTTTGGCCTTCAGGGGCGTAGGCTGTCATGATATTAAACCCGAGAGACGAGTCCGACTTTTTCGCCAAAGAGGTGGCCTGGAAATCTCACGCCGAGAGTGGCTGTTGGGGGAATCAGATCGCAGCTGGCTGGCGATACAGAGGGCCAAAGCATCGAACGATTTCTTCCCGGAAGATCGCTGCATGTTTAGGTATGCCCGGGTCACCACAGCAAGCTTGAAGCTGTCGTGTTCAGGTGTTGGAGGGTTAGCCCCGCTTTAGGTCAAGAGCAGGGCCCGAGTCCGCGGCTGAAAGGTCCGGCTGAAAGAACTGTCTTTGATCAGCGGGCCTTTAGACTCCTTACAACCGAAAGGAGAAGTTTCGACAACCCGTCGGTTTTGCAGAGAAAGTAAATCCCGGGGGGAGCGGAGAATCATCAGATTCACAAGGTCCACAGCACTGCAATCACAGCAAAAACAAGTTGGTTGCATTCAATACCCTGGGGAGGATGGAACGAGAGCCGAATCCGTTGAGAGTGCTGCTAGTTTTCAAGTTGGGTGAGCAGGAGCGTCGTTGTCAAAGAGGCAAAAAAAACTGAAGTCGCACCTGGCTGGGCAGGGGTTCAGGGATTAGGTTTCCAGATGGTACAACCCCCCCCCTGCGAAGCACTCCGTTCCTTCTGAAGCACTCCGAAGTAGCAACAGTCAGAGAAGCACAGGGCGCACGAACGCGCTTGCCACCAAAAACATGCCAAATGCTCCGCGTTGACCCTGCGCAAATCTGGCACTGAAGGGTTTCTTGGACTATTTGGGCGATGCCAAGGACGACTTTCCAGAGGCTCCACTGTCCTACTGCACAAGTTGCTGCAGTCAAGCTTTGTGCTTTCCCGACTTTGTAGGATGCATGGGTGGTGGATGATGAGATCTGGTCGAGAGTCATGAAGGACAGTGGTGCACGTGTGAGCAACCGACCTTCTTACGATTGGCATGTCAAGTCGCTTCGAGCAGCATGCCAAAGGAGTGGCTCGGAACAAGCGATCCTTCAAGATTCGCTCCGGTGCCGAAACATCAGGGTGGTGGCCTGCCGTCGGCACGGAACCCAAGTTGCGCAGCTCCTGTGATAGAAGGATTGAAGTAGCACGGTCAGTCAAGCAAAAAGCAACCCTCTCCAACGCGCCAGTTCAAGAATTTCGGACTCGCGGAAGACAGCGACGACGACGACTACGCACCGTATGGTTCAAAAGACGATGGAGACGAAGAGGAGGTGTTGCACTGCTCGACTTGCAATGACCAACAGGATCTCCTCAAAGTGGAGCTGCAGTGTAGTCATACAGGCGGCGAACGAGATTTACGAGCGCAAGCTGGATGTAGACAACGAGCAAACGGAGCAGGTGGATGAAAAGCGGAAGCGCGTTCCTGAGCTACCAGAGGTCTTTTCCGGATTCCTCCCATTCGAATAGACAAAGGAGCCGGATGGATTTCTTCCAGGAGTTGAACAATGCCTGGCAACTCGGTCGCAAAATCTTATCTAGATCTATTTAGATTCAGCTATTCCATGCACTCTGCCGCGCCAGCTAGCATAATCTGCCATGTGCAGGCTGCCCTATGTGGACGAGTACTATGAGACCTTGACTCCGGAGATGCGCAGTTTGGACTGGCGAGAGGAGGCTGATGGCATTCCATGCCACTTTCCCACCCGCTGGTGCAGCGTGATCTAAGTTGCAAGCCACAGCACTGAACGGCTTGCTCTGGTGACTGGTGGGAAGCGAGTGCCCTTGCCAGAACTTGTGGCGGCTGCTGCCGCCGCAACGTCGCGAGTGTTACCGCCAGTGGCTTGTGGAGGTTCCCCGGTACGACTTGGTGCTTGCAGAGTTGCATGCCGTAGCTACACGAATGTTGCTGGAGCTGCACAGGCTCATGAAGAAGCACGAGGTATACTCCCCGAGCTTGCGCACTTACTGGAACGGAACGCAGAGAGTCGAGCTGCCTCTTGCCTTAAGTAGGCGTGTGGGTGGCATTGAATAGCTTTCGACCATGACTGTGTCAGTATGTAACAGCGACAGCCATGAAACACTGAAGCACCGGCCAAAGTGCTTGAACCTTTCGAAGTTCTGGTGTAAGCGAATCGCGATGCCCGCACGGGAGAAGCTTGCCTATGCACGACAGCTTTCGTCTTTTCTATCTTTTCTGCGCGACAAGGCTAAAAATGTTTAACCCTGAAACCTGAAATTGACTGAGTGTTGCAACTGATGGAAATACATATCGGCTGGTCAACCCGCAAAATTTGTAGGAGCTGGTAGAAGCATACCTGCTTGCATTGCAACTGACTCCTCTCAGCTAGTTAGGCTCTTGACCGAGATCGAAAGCTGGCCGTTCTACGTGAAATGCAGGTGCCACTGCAATGCAGGGCTTATGCAGTTGCGGGCAGATTAGCGCACGAGTTTGGCCGAATTGCTAGGAGGGGATTAGCTCGGGGCGCTCCATTTTGTCTCGGGCTTTGACAGGTCGTGGGCATGACGACCACTGCCGTATCCAAGTATCAACAGCTTCTGAAGGACTGACAGTACATTCAACTTCATAGCCCTCAAACATACACGGGGCTGTGCAGCTGAATCAAGTCCCCTCTGAGTTAATGATGACTTCACAGTCTTGCCTTGCCGATCATCCCGTAAGCCGAATGCGCCCACTCAGCTCATGCCGCTGCGAGCCCAGAAACCACGCAAACTGGCCTGCAGTGTTGTTACGGAATTGGCGTGTGCCATCGCATCAACGCGCCCGAGCAGACGACTCGTGCAGGAGCTACGGCCCGAGGTTGTCATCGTCGAGGAGGCTGCTGAGGTATTGGAAGCTCCCGGCTCAGCTCAGTCACTGCGCATGAAAGAAATCTCGAAGCCTCCATGGAGTGTGCTTTGAATTTCTCTGCGCGCGCCGAACGGCTCAAGGTCGAGGGAGCTACGGGCAAACATCTTGCAAGCAAACGTACGAATGCCTGCATCTTCTTATACACTTGAATTTGGGGAAGGAGTGAGAAGGTACACGCGCGTAAGGGGGAGAAGGATGGACAGAGAATGTAGTCCGCTTTCTGGGTGGTTGTACACAGGTGCGAATGCGTTCGTGCATGCACGCAGGGTAGGCATCTATGCAGGGAAGGACCGCACTGACGCATGCATCGCATGCAATTCCGCATGCCCGCTAAGCTTTCGATTGTGCCTCTGTCTGCTAGCCTATCTTCTGTAACTGCAGTCAGATTGCAGCACTGCAGCACATCAACACATGCCTGTTTGCCTGCAAACTGTACGCACCTACACGTTGCCTAATTCGACAATGTGTGCTTCGTTGTGCGACAGCATGCAAGATTCGCGACAGGTATGGAAATGTTTAAGTATTCGCAATGACTCGCAGCTTCGAAATCAATGTGTCTGGTTCCTCGCACAAACGTTCCGCATGGCAGCTTATATAACCCGTACCCATAAAATGCATTCGTGGTGGGTTCTGAGCGGAGGCTGAATGTGTTATCAAGAAACTTCAACTGGGAGATATTCGAAATCGACTTGGAGACAGAACAGCGGCTGTCCCTCATACTAAAGAACACAAAGTCGTTGGGAAAGTTGGGTGGATTTGGGGATGGTAGCATATACTACTTACGTATATATATATATATATACAATAATAGGGTACATGCACAAACATACACGCACATGTACACACATTTCTGTGAAGTCAAGTATGCAAACGACATTACAAAGGACACACCACCCACCATACATAGTCATGTATACCTAAGCTGCATGCATACAGGCTGCCAGAATGCGTCACGAGGCGGCCACTTACATCCGATTTCAAGCTATTTACAAGTGACTCCAGCATGTTGTAGCAGGTCGCAATGCATCGCATGTCTACTGCCTTTCAGAATTTTTCATACAGTCCAAGCTACGAGTCCGAATATGCCCCCCTCTAGAATCTCCTTCATGATCCCGTACTTGGCTATGCAGGCCCTGAGAATCTCTATGGGTCTTGCATCTCTTCGGCATCATAACCCCGCTATAATCTCGGCTGAAAATTCTGGAAGAGGGCGTGTTCAACTGCCAGCGAATCCTTACGGTTGCTGTCTATCGCCCTGTATAGCCATAAACGGTACAGGAATCTACTTGTAGCTGGCCCGGCAAACAACAGCTTGTAGGAGTTTGCATTCATAGGGTCGTTTCCTGGTAGAATCTGGTAGATGAAAGTACATAATAGTCGGACGTAGCAGTACAGAGCTGTCTGCGAATGTACAGTGGCACCTAGGCTCAGATCAAAGCGCATGAACGCGGGATGGAAACTAACAGTCTAGTGAACTTAATAAGTTGGATGTCTTGCAAACTCTCCGTGTGTCAGAGCGCGGCATCGCGTTTCATGCTATCGCAGAGCATGTCTTCGCTGCTGCACTACTAGATCGGTACAAAGCATGCAACAGCAAAGAAAAGACTACTGATTCTTGAACCTGCTTTGTCAGGATTCGTGTTTACCGCGATTTCAGGGTGGCAGGAGATGTGCTTCCCGAGCAAGGCTACCACATAACTAAGGTACAGCATATCAGACCTGCTCCAAGACTAGAGTTGACAGAAATGGGTTTGGCCCCTTGTTGGATTTCAAGAGGCATCGATACTGGGCTCATTCAATGCTTGTCCAGCATACTTGCAACCTTCGACACACGGTCTATCTACCAGCGAAGACTCTGCTTCCAAACAGATGGAAAAAGTTCCAAGATGTAGAAAGAGAAACGATGAACAGAATCAGCATTTTGGAGCTGACATTCACGTATGTTATTCCTACTTTTGTGTTTGTTATTGCCGCACAACCAAGATTGACAATTGAAATGTCGAAACGAAACTGGAACACGGCAGAAAGAGCGGCTTCTGTGTTCATTTAATTGCGCGTATTTCTTGGGCCATCTTGGGCTGTGCCTGACCCACACAACCCTTGTATTTTGTATGCACGGGCGTGGAGTTATCCTGGGACACGGCACATTTAGTGACAGACGGCCCATATTGCATACCACCGGGCCCCGTTGAATATCAATATGGGCCTGCATTAGATAGAAGGCTGATGATTGAAGGTAGGCTGGAAAAGCTGTGCCTGAGTTGATTCACGGTTTGTCATCCGTCCTGCAGCGAGGCATCAGCAGCTGATGTTGTCGAAAACACCCCGTCCTGAATAGCCTGACCAACATGACCCCAGCCATCAACCGAGCCACTAAGCCATTGACCACTAAAGCGATCAAACCAATGCATTTGCCCAAAGGAGTGGCTGCTGGAATTCGGATGGGATATGGATCTAGCCCAGGGGTAAAACATGTCATACAGACATAGACGAGAGTCTGCTGGTACCTCTATACGTTTTATACATTATATGTGTATATATATGTATATATATATATATCCTCATTCTTTCTCATGCTTAACGTAGACATTTGCATGCATATGTAGCTGTCGAAGCTTCACTTTGGAAGTGCATACCCGCGTAAGGAAGTTAGCAGGTACTGAAGAGCATGTGTTAACGATGTTTGCGTGAGTGCCTTTGGCATCGTGGTGTGTCGCCTGCATGCACGTACACACGAGGCAGACAATCAATGCACATGCGCCGGCAATATGTACTAACATGTAGACCCGGTTCATGGCAGTGCCTGTCCGTGCACATGCTGCTACATGCAAGTACAATATTCGAAGTGTGAGCGTATGTACTGTTACAGGTAGCCAACCATGCAATGCATGTATATTTGCATGCACATCCGTTTGTCCGGATATGCCTGTGCGCTTCTTTCACTCCAAAAAACTGTATCTGTGCTTGTTTCTGGGTGTGCATCTGATGCAAAGTTATAGGTACTCGTGACGTTTTGCCGTTTTGTCAGGACATATGAGCGGTGCACTTAGTGCTCTAGTCTGTCACATACAAAATGATTGAGACAACGGTATGTGCAGGTCTAGACTGAATACCCGTAAAGGTGTGTGCATGTACCCTCGCTCTAATGTTCATTGACTAACCGCCAGCCGGGCTGGATTTAAGCAGCCAGATGCAGCAATTTACAACATCAGCTTAGCACAAAGCGTCATTGCTGTTCGAAAGATCGCATACAGAGACAGACAGAGTGGCAGCGCATCATCGAGCCGGCGCAGAAGTGTGCAGCCCCCAGTTGCCCCCACAGTCACTAGGAAGACCGCAGATGCTTGCTGATTTGAAGAGTAATCGGCTCAGTGCGACGATCCAGCATTGCTGGCCACAGGTCATGGGTTCTGCAACTTCTGGATGCTCAGGAGATTGTGAGCAGTGCCACGACCTCAACAAACATGGCACATTCTCGCAGCAGCCGCAGCTAGACGGCTGCCATCTAGTTCTCATGTGGCATCACGCTATATCGCGCCTGGAGTTGCAGAACGTCCCCTAGAGATTTCGTTGCATCGAAAGCAGCTCCTAGCTTGCATGACCATTTGCACCAGTGGTGTGAAGCGTATGAAACGTCGAGGCAGTACGTGTGCTCGCAATGGGTCCAGCTCCCCAGGATGAGCTGCTTTGCTGAGAGATTCTCGATCTGTGGGTGGCAAGGTGCGGTCACCTTTGCCTGATCCAGAGAGAGCGGGAGAAGGAGCAGAAAGCTGTCATGAAGACCTTCACGGTCAATGCATCTGCCTGGTGCTGAGAAAACTTTCAAAAGGTTTATGTCCTGGAAGATCAGCATCCGGAGCACATGATTTAAGCTGGCGAAACGCGCGGCCCAAATAAAGTCAGGGGTCGCTGTCTCTGGCACATGAAGTAGGTGCAAAGTTGTCTGGCTTAGGCGTGATCAGCGTCAGCTAGCTGTGAATGTAGCAGAGTGCCGTTGCAGCGTCTTTGCGGCCTTGCCTTTTGCTCATTGCTCTCATTACACTCAGAGTCTCAGAACAGAAAACACTGAGGAGAAGCATCCTTGAATGGGCGAAATGCATGCAATTGCACGACAAACCGAAGGCCCCGGATGATGACAGTGTGGCACCAGAGTGCGGATCTCGGTTTAACAGCTTTACCCTTCTTTTGGAATGTCTGGCCGCACGGATGGCACAGTCGGAAGATCAACTGCATGTGGCAGCCGTCATAGACAAATCAGCGAACAAGACACAAGTCACGTAATGAACACAGCCAGTGCAGAAGGCCTAACCAACTCCAAGGATGTTCAGGCATACCCCCGGCCGGAGACGTGTCCTTGCTTGTGAGGCCGGAGCGGGTCGTGCATGATGGGCCTGAACCTGGAATTTCCGGCGTTTGATGAACCAGGGACATTTAGCTAGGCAAGACTGTGCCGAACTGAGCCGGCAAGAAGTGAAGCGGCTGGGGCCACAGCAACGGCACAGAAGACCACCCTGGAATTGGTGGATACAATCGGACTCTCCCTTGCATTCGGCACCACAGCAGGCTAAAATGAACCTGAATGACCCAACCTTGTTAGAAGAAGAACTTGTAGCCGGGCAGGATGAGGGGCGAGACCTGATGGGGAGCGAAAGCGTGCATGCGTGGCCGTTGCGACAGAGGCACAAGGGCCAGTCACAGGCCACAGGTCAGGTTTGCAGAATTATTGCAAGGTTTCCTTAGTTCTGGATTTTGGATCCCTCAAAACCCTTCTTGAGTCTTGAGCATTCACCGATGCGAACTGACGCCTGTTTGCATGAAGCCTTCTACCCGGCCGAGGCTGCAGCGGTATGCCGTGCATGGCGAAGACAAACTGTCGCAGAACGCCAGCGACCTCAGCACATCTCAGCACATGATGCTTCGGGATCCGACAGTCACTGGCCGTGGCAGTGCCAAGATCCCAGCGGCCATCAGTCAGCTCCTCCTGA